ATGGGAAAGCAGCCAGACAGAAGTGTCAGACTAAATGATCCCCGTGCGTGAAGTTCACTTACTGGCAAAGCTAACCTATGGTGACAGAGGAAAACAGAGGCTACCTCTGGAGGTGGTCACTGACTGGGGGTGGGAACAAAGGGGTCTTCTGGGCTGCATCTTCATCTGTGGGTGGTTTCAGGGGCACAGGCGTATGTAGAAATTGAGTTGTACGATGCAGATTTGTTCATTTTACTGTATGTGTGTTATGACTCAATAAAAAATAAAGTACCCACAAATGGGAGTTATTCTTACACACAAGCCAGGTCTATCTGAACTCGTGAGGTTTAAATCAACATTAGTCAGCACTGAGCTGTCTGAAAGCTTGTGAAAAAAAAACCCGAGGCTGTGAAGAACCTCCCGCTGCTTCTTGTCTGCCTGTGCCAGCTTGGAAAGAAGGGACAGCCGCAGGGGCTGAGTCTCAGGACGCAAGGCTTGGTGACATCCACCTATGCCAGCGGTCACAGGACACAGGCATGGCGTGGACGTGTGAGGACAACAGGAGGGACAGCAGAGCCCGGTGGCCTGCAGGGATGATTCTGGGGGGAAGGTGCAGTGCTGGGGCAGGCGGGTGGCCGCCATCGGACCTTGGGAGGGCTGGGAGGTGCAGGACCTCACCGTGGCAATGGGACAAGGTGACTGACTTCTTGGGCTTGGATGCACCATCACAACAACTTCAAGGTCAACAAGTCCAAAACCAAACTCATTCTCTTTCTCTGAAAATAAGATCTCCCCTCATTTCTGCCATTGGTAACTCCATTCTCATGATTACTAGCTCTTGACTACTTGGGAATTATCTTTGATTCCTCTCTCCCTTTCCAGAACAGTGTTTGGGCCTATACGTTGTATCTACGGGGCACTCACTCATTTGTTTATTCCCCAACAACTGAGTCTTGAACGGGATATAATAATAGGAACAGTAACATTTATTCACCACTCTCTATGTCCTAGGCTAAAAAACTCTACCTGCATTGTTTCATTTAATCTTTTCAAACATACAGAGAGCAGTTAGAATGCACTTCTGTCTAACAGATAGTAAACTGGGCATGGGAAAGTTAAATGATGTGCCCAAGGCCCCAGATGGGTAGGTGGTAGAGGATTTTGGCTCTGACTTTGATGCTCCAGCGCCTTCCTCCTCAGGCTAGCTGACTGCGCATGTGTGGTCTTAGGCGTTGTCCTGTCAGTAGCTCCCAGCGAAGTCCCTTTCCTGGACAAGCCACTCACCACTGAGGCTGGCATTACTTAGAGACCCTGACTGGGCAGAACTTAGCAAAGAGCTTACGACTAAAGAAGAACTATCTGCTATAATTGAGTGAGGTGTATAGGAAATAGAGAATGAGCAATCCCAAATAATTTCCAGTTGCTTCTAGAATGCTGTCAACAGAGGACCAACCCTCACAGGCCCTGGGCCTGGTCTTGACCTCTTGCCTGACCCTGGCTTCTGCTCTGCCCAGTGGTAGGTGGGGGATGGGGTTGGGGGGAGGTGGTTGGAGGAAAGAACACAGGCAGGACTGTATAACACAGCTCCAAATTCCAATTCTGCCTATAACCTATGCAATGCCACCTCACCCACCCAGGGGGGTGACAGACATTTCAGTGCACCATGAGATGGGAAACTCACAACTGTTTTGAAAACAATTGTCATCCACAGTCTTAAAATATCTGTGCTTGGCACACATTTCTGAACACTGCCCGCACCCCCACAATCACGATGCAGCATGGCTGTGGCCTGTGGGTAACATAAAACCCGATGTGCAAATATTATTAGGCACGTGGACCAGCTGTCTAGAGGAGCTGATTAATCCCCAGCAGAAACTCCGGCGTGCAGCACGCATGCCATCTGCAGAGGACACCAGCAGACACACACCAGCCTCCTTCTGCCTCGTAAAGAGGCCAGGGCAGGGCAGACCCTCGGGAGGAATTTTATAAATAGCTAAGTTGTCCCAGAGCAGGAAAATGAAGGTCTGTTCAACTCCCTCACACACATGCACGTTAGAAGGTGCCCCTTAAAAAATTCCCATAAAATAAAGGGGAAAAGGGACTTATGATTAATCCTCCCCATTTTTATTTTTTCTTCTAATCACTGCCCTGATGAGAGGCCGGCAGCACAGCGTGAGGGTGGATATAACAGGGCCGGCCCTATCTGGATTCAGGTCCTGGCTCTGTCAGTCTACCAGCTGCCTGACTCTGTTCAAGTTCCTTAACCCCTCTGAGTCTATTTCTATCCCTCCCCGATCTCGTTTCCCCTCTCAGGCCTGGCACTCGGAAGGTATTCTACAAATGCCCCTGTCCCTTTCCCCGCTCTGCTGCAGGACAGCATTTCTTTTATTCTCCTTGGACACCCTGGGACCCCACAGGCTTTGTTTCCTTCCCCCAGTGCAGTGCTCCGGCTCATTTACTTCTCATTTATCTCTTTCCAGTGTCTGGCGCAGATTTGAAGATGTTTGGAAAGGGAAGAAAGAGGGAAAAAAAAGTTTTAAGAAGGAAGGAGGGGGGAGCTGGGGGGGCCCTCTACTTGGAAATTAAGTAAGGAAACACGGCGCACCAGGGGCGGGGCGTGATGGTGGGGTGCGGAGGGGCCGAAGGGCGATCGGGACCATGGTGAGCGGGAAGGCTTCCGGCCAGAGCTGAGGGTGGCAGCCTGGGCCTGGCTCCAGAGCAGCAGCTTGATGGGAGGGAGCCCGCGAGGGCGCCAAGCACCCAGGGCCACAGCCTGGGGACCTTACTCCAGTGGAGGAGGTATGAACTAAAACCCAGGCCCTGTCGAGAGCCCCCTGCTGGCGTCCTCTGCCTCCTGGCCCTGTAAGCAGTTCATTTATCCACGGCTGGCTCATGGGTGTCAACCACAAACCCCACAGAGTCCTCGGTCCAGGCAAAGGGGAGAGATTCTACTCACACACAGAAGGGCAGTCGCATGACTCCGTTCCAGCCCTTCCCTAAATCAAATATTCATGTCCCAGCGCCTTTGCCCACTCTCCTCTGAGTCTGAGGAGCTGGGATCTGACAGACTCGCCTCAGGGTGAACTCCCGCAGCCGGGGCCAGGGCTCAGATCCACTGGCACGCGGGTCCTCTCGGCTCACCTTGCCTCAAAATCACGTCCACATTCCTCTCTGGGCTGCCAGTGCCAATCAAAGCTGCAGTGTGGCTTTGATTAGCGGCACGGCACGCCATCTGGCCCAGCACCGGGGCGTGCGTGTGATGTGCGGGCATGCTCGCCGTGCGGGCATTTGGCTCCAGGACAAGAGCTGCCACGTGTTGGGGAAACTCAAATAGCTGAGCTGTCTGAACGACGTGTAATTTAGCATTTGGACAGTATCTGTACCAGCCAGCGCCTGAGTTTAACATTTCCCCTCATCACTTCGAACTGCTGACAATGTTTCCATTCTGAGTCAAAGAGAAGGAGGGAAGAATTGGCATGAAAGAATCAAAAGGAGGAGGAGGAAGAAGAAAAGGAGAACTCCAGAGACGGCCAGAACTCAGCAGAAAGCACCACCCTGCAGTATACTCCAGTCACTGCTCAGCATGACTAGGCTTTGGTTAAAGACAGCAGTGAAAGTTGCCCCCTTCCCCAGTTACAAGCATTATATTCTACATGAGGAGCCTACATTCAGTCGCAAACGGCATACTTAATTCCACCCATTTCACACTTTTACCTGGTGACCGCTACCGTGAAGATGCAGGAAGACAGAAAATATCCCTGGGAATTCCTTCCTGGTATTTGGTGCTGTAATCGCACCTGCAAAGTTGCCCCACTGGAGTGGCTGTGGGGTCGGGATGTGTTTAACTGAAAGGCTAATGTCTATGAATTTTTGTAGGGAGTGGGGTGGAGCAAGGGGCTTTCCGAGCGCCTCTGCTGTTATCTCCTGTGGTCTCTCTGGATCCTCTTTCCACCCACTTCTCCCTGCTCTGGACCCAGAAGGACCATCACTGGCTCCTCGGGCCAGGTTTGGTGGGAGACTGGAAGCAGGCTGAAGAGCAAGGTTGGACATGAGTCCCCAGACGGCCCCACTGCCCCTCTCTGCAGTGAAGGACTCTCCACACAGCTGCCCATTCTGACTTCTAGTGCCCACTCTCTACCCCCTGCCTTTCAGGCCTTGGTTCCCTTGCTGTTATGAGCTCCGAGATACTGCACTGTGCCCTGTTGGCTTTCCTAGACCCTGACTGTACATTTGTAAAAAAACTCCTTTATTGGCTAGGCGCTGTGGCTCACGCCTGTAATCCTAGCTCTTGGGAGGCCGAGGCGGGCGGATTGCTCAAGGTCAGGAGTTCAAAACCAGCCTGAGCAAGAGCGAGACCCCGTCTCTACTATAAATTGAAAGAAATTAATTGGCCAATTGATATATATATAAAAAAAAAAAATTAGCCGGGCATGGTGGCGCATGCCTGTAGTCCCAGCTACCCGGGAGGCTGAGGCAGAAGGATCACTCGAGCCCAGGAGTTTGAGGTTGCTGTGAGCTAGGTTGACGCCACGGCACTCACTCTAGCCTGGGCAACAAAGTGAGACTCTGTCTCAAAAAAAAAAAAAAACTCCTTTATTAAATTCTCCAATTGGAGCGTGCTTTCTGTTTTCTGCTGGGACTTTGACTGAGGGATGAGCCATAATTTGACTGATCTCTTGGCCTTCTCCAGCCCTCTTTGTCCAAAAGCAGAGTATCTCAGGCCTGGACGCCATGAGGAAGGCAGCATGAGCCAGGAGAACCACAGCCGTGGACCCACCCACTCACCAAAATGCAACATCTCATCTATCTACTGTGCCCACTATAGTCGCCCACCTGCAGAGCTGTCAAATTCCTGCCAGATCAAGGAGCAAAAACCCAGCTGAAGAATAGTATTTCAAGTGTTTTCTGGAGGAAGGGAAGGGAAGGGAAGGGAAGGGAAGGGAAGGAGGAAGGAAGGGTCATGCCCTTTAGCAACTGATCTGAAGGATGAGATCACAAGCTATTGTCATTCAAGTGCCCACCTTGTCTGGCTGTGTATTCATTGTCTTCGATCAACCGGGCCAGTCCAAAGTCAGCAATCTTGCATATTAGTCCATTCCCCACTAGAATGTTTGCTGATCGCAGATCTCTGTGGATATAATTCATGCGTTCGATGTAAGCCATTCCTGCAGCAACCTGTGGAAACCCGGGGAACAGGGCTCATATGTTACACTGTGACTTGATGCAATTATGCAGTGTTAAATCTATGGCACAAATCAAGGTACCCCACAGGGCCTACCTGTGCTGCCATGTCCACAAGATTTGGTAATTTCAGAGCTCTTCCTTCTCCATCTTTTAAGAAGTCAAGTAAACTTCCTATGAACAAAACATAAAACCATTTCAATTTACTTTGAAAGATAAAAGTTCCCAACAGAGGGCTATATTCGTTTTTTTTTTTATTATAAGTGATAAGGTAGTTCAATGAAATAATGCCATCAATGGAAAAAAAAGTTTATATAAAAAGGAGAATAGAAAAAATTCTATGCATTGAAAAGCAACAGCTTTAGCTTTCAAAAATAAACAGTACGGATTCTATTTCTAAGGACAATAAAAAGAATTTGATAAAACTGGAAGAAATGGAATGTAATCTCCCTTTACGTTTAAGAGGAACATGTGAAGAACTGCACTACCTCAGTTTCTCCCCTCAGGCAGCCTGCACAAAGGACTGATGCGGGGAGCACGCGACCTAGCTGAGTGTCCAAAACTGTGGTCTCAGGATCAGCTGCAACAGCATTACCAGGGACCTTGTTAGAAATCCAAATTCTCGGAGCCCAACCAAGCTGTACTAAATCAGAAACTCTGAAGTTTGGGTCCAGAAACCTGTGTTTTAAGAAGCCCTCCAGGTGATTCTGATACAAGGTAAAGTTTGTGATCTCTGGCTTGGCTCATTTACAGATTTTAAATCAAGACAAGACTATCTAAGGAATATAGATGGGGTAGATGGCTCACCTAATTAGATCGTAGCCAGCCAAGCCTTAAATCAGACATCATCTGAAACAAAACAGCTGGAGCTTCAGAGCCACTATTCTAACACAGCCCAAGGAGGCTTAGAACTAACACCAAGGCAGAAATAATCATTTGCAGAAGCTGGAGGATCATGATGGTCATCAGTGATATTTTATGCTTTAATCACAAAGTTATTTACAAAATAACCCCAGATACAAAGAAGAAATAATCTGCCAGGAAAAAATTCCAATTATATTTTAAAAGAAAGTACGTCGAAAAGAAAAATTACACTGGCATCCTCTGATGTGCAATGCGTTGCCTTTTAAGGCTGTTTTTTGTTTGGTTTGTCTATTTTTCCAAAACAAAGTGATCTTTAGCCTTACCCCCAACAATATTGGTTTGATTAAAAAGACAGAGAGAGTGAGAGAGAGAGAGACTATGAGAATAAAATGTGCTCTTTAAAAGCATGTCATTTGTTTCCTGAAACTCTGCGCTTGACAGAAAAAAAAAAAGTATGTCATTTAATCATCTGATGTTTAAAAAGAGCTGGAAAAAAATAAGATGTTGAAATGACAAAGACTAAACTTAGTCCAGAGACCAGCATCTGATATTAATTGTTTAGCCCTGCAAAAAGGAAATTTAACAAAGCCACTACATTCAAAATAATAGCAAACTATCATAGTCCTCTGTATCACCCTTGATATTAAACATGAATGTCTGAATTATGGAGAAGAGCTTGAATTTCTGATACGTGAAACATGCAAAAGGTACTTGTATTTCATAAGGATTTGGGGGGCAAACTCAAGGTCAGTCTGTTTTTAAAATGTTTTCATTAATAAGCACACAACTGGTGCTTCCGATGGGAATACTTGACTCCTGCAGAACCCAGGAGATAAGCAAGCAGGCAGCTCCACTTCTCCCCCAAAACCACCCCTGTACGGTGCTGTGAGGTGGAGACAGGAGGGGTGTCACCCAACCTTTATTCATATACTCGGTGACAATGTAGATGGGCTCCTCGGACACCACTGCGTAGAGCTGGACCAACTTGTCATGCTTCAACTTCTTCATGATCTGCGCTTCCTCGAGGAAGGATTCAGGGGACATTGTGCCTGGTTTAAGAGTCTTTATGGCTACTTTTGTGTTTCCATTCCAGGTACCTACAAACATCCCACAATATTAAGTCAAACCAAAGATTCTCTTTTGATGGAGAAAAAAAAGTTTTTGACCAATAGTTATTTGTACAAAGTTAAATTTTAAGTTTCAAGAAACTTAATATAGTTTTTGTTGAAGATGGTCAACTGCAAGGACTCTGTCAAGTATTTCAACAGGAAAAATGTGTCTATGTATGTCTATTAGCTATGTTAAGCTTTATCATCCATTTGATTTTTTTTTCTTATTGTAAAATATATCACTCTTTTTCTGGCTCAGTCATATTGTTACAAGTTTATACCAAACACTCTGAACCCCTGTTTATAGTTTATAGTTTATGGAAATCCAGGGGTTAGAACAGGCCTGGCCATGGTGGTGCAAGCATGTACTCCTAGCTATTGGCAGGCCGAGGCAGGACGACTGCTTGAACCCAGGAGTTCGAGACTGCAGTGAGGTATAATAGTACCACTGCACTCTAGCCTGGGTGACAGAGTAAGACTCCCATCTCTTAAAATAAAAAAACCGAAACCAAAAAATAGGCCTGGCCACCCAATAGCCATCCCTTAGGTAGTGGGCATGGAAGAAATTAGATTAAGTGTATGCAGGTGTGCCATTTAAAAAAATATGGAAACACGGAGGATGTTTGGGAATTACCTCTAGACTTTCAATTGTTTGAAAGGATGAGTGACTTCACTGAGTCCTTGCACAGTTGAGCCTTGCATGCTGATAAGCACTGGCAAGGGGTACACGGTTTCCTTGCCAATACTTAGCCAGGTAAGGCAAACTCCTCAGTTTTCCTGATGATCAGCCACAAGAACAATGGCTTCTATCAAATCAACTGGGAAAGTCAGACAGCAGCAATGAGGGAACAGAAATGTTTAAACTTAACATGTTAAAAAAAATCTAGCAGATTTGAAGGCACCGCCTGGTTTATGATCATCAGTTACTTCATCTGTAAAATATAGGAATGGAAGTGGATTACCATTGGTGTCTCTTTCATTAAACAAAACCAAACCTAGGTTCTATGTGTGTTCCAATATTAGTCCTATGACTTTGAATAACTTTATAAGGGGAAAAGAAATATACTAATTTAGATTATGTTATTTTCTATTTGAAAAAGAAGACTGGTTTAAATTAAGATTTACTTTTATATGTAATCTAACTGATTTTAGAATTTAAGAATTCTGTAAGTTGGAGCAATTCTTGTTATCCTGTTAAAAACAGAGCTCCATATAATATACAACTTACAAAAATAGAAATTATGAAAAAATGAGCTGCTTAAAGAACAGTTCATTTAAATCTCATAAAATATCTGCCTACTAGGTATATATGGGAAATTTGAGAATTTTTAAGTAATTTTTGCTATTTAAGTGTTGGCAGCCTAAAAATTTAAATACAGTGAGGTCTCCCTTACTGACAACCACCTGGTAATTACATAGATAACCATCCTTATTGTGATGGGCATGTTGTTTTACATTTATTAGGAAGTAAAATGGTAATAGTATGTGTAAATGATTTAAAGTTGATAATTGTAAAGTTTGAAAAATTATTTTGTAGGGTCCAATTCATCTTGATTGTGTAAGTGATTTGATTAACACATTAACTGCTATGTGAGTTGTATTTAACTCACGCTAGTTTTGAGCCCAGGGCCTCGTGAAGCATACGAAGACTCAATTCGCTGAAACAAATTCAATTAAGTAGTCGTGAGATACAGAGAACTTAATTGGTGTGCAGTGTAAAAACTGATTTTAGTGCCATGTGAGTTGCATGTAATTCATGCACAGAAAACAAAAAAAAAATAACACATTTTTCATTAAATTAGAAAAGATCTTTTTGTTTTCAATGATCTTTTTAATTCGTTTTAATTCGTTTTCATAATAAAACACTGGGGCCCCAGGGAAAATTGTTTTTGTAGTATGGCAATCAATGTGTTAAAATGTTTAGGACCTACAACTTCATTATAAAATAGGTGGATGAAGGAGAAGAAAGTCTTATAAATATATTTTACAGTACTTGAGATAAAGTCCAGAGAGAGATGGACACAATAATGTGGATTCCTTAATAGCTAATATATACACATATATGTGTATGTCCAAGTGCATATCTATTATCTATCTAGGACTTACCACTTGCCAGACTCTGTTTTAAGTGCTTTAATTGAACTCTTTTAATGCAGACCTATATATACTCACATGTAACAATAGTTACCTATATATATTGTTTTTAATGGACTCTAAGGAAGGAGGAAGGATTCCATAAGCATCAATATTATCTTATGAGAGATGTTTCTGGTTGGGGCCTAAGTCCATGGAGTACCTCTAGGCAAAGCTGCAACTGACCCAAAAGGGTTAATAAGGCAATTTCAAGGCCCCAGTGCAGTCAGTCTTCTCAGTGACACCAAATAAAGAGAAGTGTGCATGTCTACTAAATACCTATTATCTGCAAGGGACTTTGAACATATTGTCCCATGCAATCTTAAAAACAATTCTAAGCAGCAGCTATCACTCCAATTTTACAGATGAAAAAACTGAGACTCAAAAGAGGTTAAATAAGCCCCTTATTCATGGTTAATCACCCAGCAAGGATTCAAATCCAGACCCATTGAGCAAAATCTCACAGTCTTTCTCTGTGGCTGCCCATGTACAGTATCTTACCTTCCCATTTCTTAGGAAGAGAAAACACCAGATTCATAATGTATTGGTTTCTTGTTCTGTGGGTGCCTTTATTAACCACATGATGTGGGACAGACGAGCACAGCAAGGTATCAGCATATTCTGAAAATCTGAATGGTCTGTGCCTATCTAGTTACCCAGGTTAAGTGCCTTTGTCCCAATGGCTGTGCTATGTGTTTTTGTTCAAAACTGTCCTTTTAATTGGCTTTGAGAAGCAGCCAAAACAAAACGTGCCCTCTGCCTTACCAAGCCACACTTCAGCGAAACACCCCTGACCCAGCTTCTTCTCCAGAAACAAGGAACCACGTGCAACTTCCCAAGCATCTTTAGCCAATCCAGAAGTTTGTGGGGTACAACTTGATGCAATCACAGTTAAGTTAAAACACAAACCATCAGCTTTTTCTATAGGAAAAGGAATTAATAAAGAAAACACAGTCCTTATAATCCACAATTATGCATGCACTAGGGAAGATGGAAGGTGATTTGCCCTTTAGGGCAATATTCAACAAATATGTGCCATAAGAGTAAGACTTTTTATGCAGGTTGAAACATTCCTTATATACCACTTGCTGGTTTATGAAAAAATTTTTTTTGAGACAAGGTCTCACTCTGTTGCCCAGGCTAGAGTGCTGTGGTGTCATCATAGCTCACAGCAACCTCCAACTCCTAGGCTTAAGCGATCCTCTTGCCTCGGCCTCCTAAAGTGTTTGGATTACAGGCGTGGCCTGAATTATGAATTGAGGCTTATATAATAGTACAACTTGAGCCATTTGCCAATTTTGGCCACTTACTGTCTCTTTTCTAGAAATTCCAGAATTTTAAAATAAAAATTATATTCCCCACTATTAGTAATTCAAACTTTCTTCCTGGTCATAAAGTATTTATTTCCACCTTCCATCTTTGATGTTTGGTATTGCCCAAACAAGGAGGTTAATAATAAAGTAATTGAGTCTCAGCATACCCATCCATACTTCCCCAAACTGCCCATTTCCCAGTCTCTTGATCAACTGCAGGGATTCTCGAGGGATTTCCCAGACATCTTTGGTTTTGACAGACAGATCGGTAAGCCTTGGCATCCCTTTGTGACAGGGGACTACTAGGCGGCAGCAGAGACCTGCGGCTCTCTCTGGTGAAGCGAGGCAGCGGCAGGAGAGGGAGAGAAGAGCAGAACACATGTAACAACAACACGCACAGGTGCAAACCCACACTAGCCAGTGCACAGCGGTCCTGGCAACAGAGCTGCGCCAGCAGAGGACTACACACATCCTGGAGGACTAGACGCCGCACACTGAAACACGTTCATTGAAGGCAGAATAGGAGACCTTTTAAATTTAGACTATCCCAAACCCCCAGGTATGATATAGTCCATGCAAATGTATAGATGTAGACTGCTATGGTTTCTGTAATCACTAAGGAAGGAAAACATATTTGGCTCAATGTGCTAATAAAAATGTCTTCTGGAATCTTGACAATACCCTTACTAATTTCAAAAAGTACATTTGGACTAAAGGATGTCAGCAGGACTGTCCTTTCCTTACCTCTAGTATCTAGATTACCTAGGGGATTGGGGACCTCTCTGGTAGGAATATATTTAAAATTATAACTGTGGTATAAGATTCTTCTATAGAACGTTAGACTGTTATAAACTAGTAAGGCTAAAGGTATATACATGGTGGGGGAAAAAAGAGGTCACGTTTTTTCTAGAGTTTTTTTGGCTTTCTAACTGACTCCATTCTACCAGTTAAGATATTCTTGTATTGCTTCTTTGATATTTCCCATTTTAAAAAACACATTATAACAGTCGCTGATGTATAATTTAGGAGTCTGGTTTGAAAGGAGAAAGAATGGAAACTAAAATTTGCAGAAACTCAAGGGTGTGAAAGTATTCTGTTCCTTATGAAAAAGAAGGAAAAAAATAGTTATCACTTGGAAGTTATTGGGAGATTTCTTTCTCTCTTTCATTCTTTCTTTTTTAAAGAATATACCTTTTAGAATCTAGCTGTAGTAGTAAGTGGAAACTAATTAAATGCAAAGTTAAAAATCAGTCAGGTGAAAAAAGGTAACAAAGAATGAGAAGTCAGGGAGGTGACAAAAGCTGCACAGAGCCTGGCTGGCAAGGTGAGCAGACCCCCATCCCCACCCCCAAGCAAGCAAATGCAGTGTTGCTGCCTGTTCTCTGGGAACTAGCTGTAACTTACTTTTTACTTTTTTTTTTTTTTTGATGGACTCAGGTTCTGAGATGTTTAGGCAGGAAATTATTTATGTGTCAATATCTCAAAGGCATTTTATTGTGTAAGAGAGAGAAAGAGGGAAGAGGAAAAGCCAATATAAAAACAAATCTAACTCAAGATGGATTTTTTTCTGAGATTAAAAAATGCCTATTGTTCTTCATATCCCTTCTCTCCTTCCAGCTTTATGATGTTATTAAGGTGCCCTTTCCAACAATATTTTCAAATGATCCAAACCCTGGGGATACTGCTGATGCTTGGCTGTAATGAAATATATTTCAGCATTTGAAAAATCCTTACAACATGCAGGCATTTTGAGTATATCACTTAAGCTCAGGGAGCTATTCTGCTCCATTTCTCTCCAATATTTCAGTAGAATCCACATAAACTAAGCTAGCCCATGCCCTAATCAGCTAGTACTCTGAATGTTTTTAATATTTTCAGTTGCTCATTAGCGCTCAGGATCAATATACAGGCGCTCCTTATTATCATTTTTCAAAAGATTGCTTTGTGTAAAAAAAGTATACATAGACATTTCCCAATGAATGTGCATAGAGCAATAGTAGAAGCTAAATAATACACTATTTTGGAGTCTTGCCATCACCCAGAAGAACAAGACAAAATGTATATATGGGTCACACAAAAAACTACTGGGCTTAATGGGATATAGATCTACATTCGCACATATATGACTATATCTATATCCATGTGTACATCTATCAAACAGTGGGAGATACTTGCTAATCTAGGAAAGAAAGCAATCATTTTAACAACTGCACATAAAGCCACATTCTTTAATAAAATGTACAAACCGCACACCTAAACATCTAATAATTTTGTGTGTCCAGGAACAAAATAATGGTGACCTCTGGGTGTTAGGACAGAGACTGATCTACTTTAAAAAAGTTTAATTTAACACAATAGATGTACTGGATCTATGAGAGGTGGGTCACATAAGTCTAGGTCTGGTTGGGAAGCAGAAGTGTGGTGGGGCAGGGGCACGTGCCAAATGAGCTGCGTGGGAGCCCAATGTACGTGCAGCCACTGCCGCAGCAGTGCCGAGTGTGCAGTGATGGCAGAAACACTGTGTCCCCCGTGGCAGTCCCCACGCAAGTGCCCTCCCAGAGGCTGTGTCCTCTTCTTATCATGGTTTCTGAGTTACATGATGAAAGGAAAGGGAATAGATAACTTGCAAGGATGTTAGGATGAAGATGAAAACACGAACAACTTTTAAAATTGAACCTGTCTACTTGGGGAAATATAATGTTATAGAATCTCCCGACAAACATAGGGACCTCGTCATAACTACGACAGAACAACAATAGAACCCATGTAGCCAAGTCCCACTGTCAGGGGCTGGCAAAGAAAAATATTTTTCTAGTGGCTTTGTTTGTATCTGTTATTACCCGTGTCCCGCTCTGTGCCTACCCACTCCCTCCAGTGTCCCAGTGGTTGGCAGGGAGTCAGAATTCAGGTTACCTGAGTAATGTTGCACAAGCTGCTGAAGTGTTTCAAACTGGGCCCGGGTGGTAATGTAGTATCCACCATTGTCAAGTTTGCGAATTTTATAATGTTTGACATGGTCTCCTTTCATATCATCCCAATCACGGATAGAAAGTGAATAGGCACCTGGTAAATACGCAAAGCATTAGCGGCTCCAATCGTTTTGAGTACTCGTTTGTTTTTTTAGGTCTCATCTACTTAACTATCCTGACTAACAATTATCATGGGCGCGCACACATGCGTACACACACAGAGCATCTCCGCCCAGGAACAGGAAGAAGATGCCTCTTACTGTCCCGCAAATACCAGAAGATATTAGCAATAAAATGATTCTGCCCTTGAGACTGAAACCCTCCCGGATATTTTTCTAAAACGCTCTATTCGGTTGCCTTGCGTTGCCTAATACGGAACAGACCCAACGCCCCCTCCCCACCCTGCCCCCCAAGAGAAGCACCAGGATGCGCGGCTGAGCTGCTTCCCTTGTCGCCTTTACACGTGGGGCAAGCCGGGAGAGGGGGCGGCACGGACAAAAGACATCTAAGGACTGTTTCTCTAGAAGTGAGCTTCAGATTTCTGCCCTTTGACATTTTTTTACAGGAACAGATAACCAATGTCTGATAGATTAAGCTAGAAGGCCTCCATTCTTTTCTTCCTTGACCTATTTTTCCTTGTGGGCTCTAATGAGTTGTTAAATAATGAAAAGGCCAATAGGTGCAGGAAGAGAAGTGAAGTCTTCAGTTATTAAAAAAAACAAAAGGAAAGTAAAAACAACCTGTATGATTGGCACCTGCAGAACTAAGAGTTTCAGAAAATCATAATTCTAAAGGACTTGTGAAAAATTCTATGATCTTGTGTGCCCAGAGCAGTGAAGCTGCCCCAGCCCGTTTCAAGAGGAAGGTCTTGATTTTGAGTCTCTGTAGTTCTTTTGGTGCCATATGCAGTTCCAGAGCCCGGAGGGAAAACTAAAAACAGGACTCTTCTCACTCATATGTATCATTTAAAAATCCTTGTACATTAGAGATAAGCCTTTCATCCCCTCTGACTAATCCACAGATTTGAATGACAAGCCAACTTTTTCAACTTGTTATCCTACCTTTGGTGGTTTCACTCTCACGGATAAGAAAGGTACCTCTTGGGTTTCCAAAGGACAAAAGCTGTCGTTCAGCATCTTTTCGGCCAAGTTTTCCAAAATACCACCTTTAAATGAGATCAAGGAAAGGAAATACTTCATAGCAATCATTTACAAAATAGAATAGTGTAGGCTTTTCATTTTTGCCCATGAATGCCCCCTCCTCCTATTTTGTCCTTAGCTCCTTCCCTATATGTTATTTTTTTCTAGTTTCATTCAGTTCTCTTTCAATCTATTCCTAATTCTACTCTTCATCCATCTCTTTCACTCCTTAAGACAAATCATATTTGAATTATGGGTTGTTTTCCTTCCCTCCAGAGACGACAAGAACTGATTTGTGTTAGAACTGCCACCTGCATGCACAAAAGGAGAAATCTAAGACCTTGCTTTGAAATGGCAACCGTGGGAGACCCTTCCCACGCTCATCTAAAAGACTCTTGATTTCTGAGCATAATTACAACTCCTGAGAAACAACAAAACACAGTATTAGTGTATATAAAGACCATTAATCAAGCATTAAAGAAAATTCAGTCAGAATGGATGAAGAATAAAGATATGTGATATTTTCAGTAACTTCCCACCTACAGGAACTCTGAAAAAAATGGTCAAGACTACCCCTCATTTGAGACAGCTGCTGCCCTGGGATGCTTGCTTGTGCTTGCTTTTCCTATCCAGCAGGCGTGAGGCTTGTAGAAGTAACAGGCAGGTACCAAGCACCTGGACCGTGATCTGCTGCACATCTTCTCTGCTGCACAGCTGCAGGGACTGGCTACTGCACCGCTGAGGTCCGTGCATGGTCACTGAGCACGTCCTTAAAAACGCCTTTGTGTTGGAGACATTCTACTGTTTCTCCTTGAACAAATTAATGACACTCTTGTGCCACTTTAGGACCTTTGCTGTTTTTTTACCTTCCCCCTGCATTCTCAAGCCTTAACCACTGCCTGGCAATTAGTCGACATTTCAGCACTACCTGCCGAATGAATAGCAAGTGCCCCCACCCCGAACCAAGAATTCTGGAGCATTCCATTGGAAATCTATGCATAGAAACATTGTTTAGAATATTTAACTGTGAAAAGATTGAGTTTCTCAAGTGAAATTTCAATTCATTATACATGAACTTAGGTGTTATGCGTTCACTGCCAAATTCTTTTGTGAATGAAAGAGTTTCACTGAAGAAAAGACACCCTACATGTTATCTCCTCAGTGACATTCAGAGGTACAAAAATGTGCAACAATCTCTAATCTTGTAATAAAGAATATTATGCCAATTATTTGTGAGAAATGACTTTCTGGGTTTATATCACTATCCCAATTAAAATTCTGTGTAAAACAGTGGTGAAACCCAGAAAATTGTTAGAACAATGGATTGCCCCGAAACAATAGTATTTTAAGATAATGATGTAGTTAATTGCATATGTAAAACCACAGGCATTATTTTTAAACATAATATTCTTTAAAAACAAAATATTTTACAAGTTGACCATTATAAATATAACTTAAATATATAGCTGGGTAGGTTCCAAGTTAAATCAAAGTAATGCAACATTTTGGTAGTACTTTTTGCTCTGAAAGAATAAAAAGATGTTTGTAAATCTACCCTAAAATAAAAATTCAATATAAATACCTTTATTCACTGATGATGAAACATACTCACTAGGAGAAAAAAACCAGCTCAGAACCACTAAGTATTTGAGAGTGGGAAGCAAAACAGATCTTAGAGGAAATATAAGAGAATTAAAGGCAAGACAATGATCCAACTGGGGATTTGGCTGGGGTGTGGAGTCTAATCCTCCTTGCGATACTTAAACAAACCTGCAGCAAAATTAAATATCAGAGCCAAAGGCTGGGCTTGGTGACTGACTTTTCTCCCTTTCCGGAGAGGCAGGCCCCAAGGTGTCAGGGAGGAGGCCAAGTTCCTGCCTCTGGGAGATCATCGCTCCACCTCCCTGTCCCTCACTGCAGAAGGCAGGGTGGCTCTCAAGCCCATTCACGCCCGCGGGTCAGGAGAAGGAACAATGGTTATCCCTTCTGGGTCCCCTCAGCCACTGACCACCTTCCTAAGTGGCTACCAGTTGAATATTGGAGCCAAATAACTGCTATTCATTATTTACTATCAAAGAAACCGAGATTCTCAATCAAAGGAAAGGAAAGGACCATTTGAAAGCCATCACCAAAGTGTTTCCCAAGTTGTGGGACACACTGCATGTGAGCTACTTTTACAGGGGGCATGGAAGGTGTGTCCCTTCAGCACTCTTTTAATGTTCCTGATTGCACTGGGAGAAAAATCTTAGCTTCATCTTTAATCATTATTTGCCTTCCCCTCTCCCTTTAATAGAGGGAGCAGATTGCAGGCTTTAAAACTTGGGTGGGCAATAATATATGCTTTAGCTAGAATTTCATCATATTTTCACGGTTACTTTCCATCTTTGAAGAGTTGCTTTGGGTTTTCATTTAGGGTACTGATATAACATTTCCGTTCAAAATAAATATTTTTTTTTTTTTTTTTTTTTTTGAGACAGAGTCTCGCTTTGTTGCCCAGGCTAGAGTGAGTGCCGTGGCGTTAGCCTAGCTCACAGCAACCTCAAACTCCTGGGCTCGAGTGATCCTCCTGCCTCAGCCTCCCAAGTAGCTGGGACTACAGGCATGTGCCACCATGCCCGGCTAATTTTTTGTATATATTAGTTGGCCAATTGATTTCTTTCTATTTATAGTAGAGACGGGGTCTTGCTCTTGCTCAGGCTGGTTTTGAACTCCTGACCTTGAGCAATCCGCCCGCCTCGGCCTCCCAGAGAGCTAGGATTACAGGCGTGAGCCACCGCGCCCGGCCCAAAATAAATATGTTTTTAAAAAGTGAGCAGGCTTAAAGGGAAACTTTAAGTTAATAATAGTGCAAGTATTGCATAGATTATTACATAGATGTGGCAAAAGCCAGCCATAAAGCCTGAGAAACACAAGACTACAATGTTCTCTCAACCCTTAATCACTCCAGTGAATTTCTTCTCTCTCTTGCTCAATGTAAATGGCATTTTACTGTGGCAACCAACTTTTAAAAGCAAGCGGTTAGGTCAAAACACAACACAGCAAAACATACTCTTCTGCCTGGATAGAGTCGACGGGAGCCACGTAATTGCTGGGGATGTAACCTGTCTCTCCTGTTGTCAAGGAGCGGGCTTCCCACCAATCTCCTTCCCTGCAAAGAAAAAAGAGAAAGAAGTGAATATGTTGACCACTTCAAAGCTTCGCAGTTACAGATTCAATGCTGTCCACAGTGTCTGACTGTCCTTTAGCCATCCTATCACCTGATTTCTCCAAATTGCTCCTTTTCCCTAAACTTGAACATAGCCCTTCCAACCCCTCAACCCCATCAAGGTCAAAATGTTACAGTCCCAGTCAGCTGTGAGATGAGCCTATTGTCGTCTCTTGCCTAGTTTGTGAATGACGAATGTAGGACTCTGGCCATGAGCAGGCTCTCCTGGTCGGGCGGGGGGGATTTCGCCAGGGAAGCGCCCTCAACTTGGACACAGGGGAAGGACACCCAGCCTCAGCACACTTAAGAAAAACATCACAGCTGCAGGCTGTCTGGGAAGGGAAGCCTGTTAGAAGGCCCCACTAGGGGTGAAAGCACAGTCTGAATGCCTGCCTGCTTGCTCTCAGGAATGGGGAGACACACCTTCCTGCAGGTAGAAGGTTATTCCATCAAATACTCAGAGCACCAGCCTGAGGCTGGCGGGCAGGAGCGGGAGGGTGGGAGCAGCCATGCGTGCACGTGCAGGGGAAGCACAGAACCCAGGCGGGGAGTGAGAGGTTGCTCACACCACCCTGTACTGCCTGATGTCATGCCACAGTGTGGCCTCAACCTGGGGGCTCGCAAGGACGTGAAAGGGGTGCTTATAACACTGCTCTTGCCTTAAAGCCAGTGAGTAATCTAAACCTGTGGTCCCCAACGCCCGGGCCTTGGACAGGGACAGGGTCCATCACGGCCTGAGCTCCGCCTCCTGTCAGATCAGTCACTGTCTCCCATCATCCCCAGATGGGACCCTCTAGTTACAGGAAAACAAACTCAGGGCTCCCACTGATTCTGCATTATGGTGAGGTATATAATTATTTCATTATATATTACAATGTAATAATAGAAATAAAGTGCACAATAAATGCAATGCACTTGAATCACCTCGAAACCATCCCCTCCCTCCTCCGAGATCCATGGAAAAATTGTTTTCCATGAAACCGGTCCCTGGTGCCAAAGAGATTGGGGACCACTGATTTAAACAGTTCAAGCTCACATGCTTAGATGCACACAGGTTTATAGGTTTATGTGTGACAGAGAGCAGGGATGGCTTCGCCCCAGCCCATGGTGGAGGCAACGAGTGGGGACAGGGGCTGTGACACGGGGGGGGGGGGGGGGGGAGACGTCCGCAGGGCCCAGCGCTGGCCTGCGGTCAGCAGTGCCGGCAGGACTCTCATCACCAGACGCCCAGCACCTTCTCGCCTTCCTTTTTTGGTCCTTGGAGGCAGCACGAGAAATCCCAGGTCTCATTTTTTAAAAATCACTTTTTGGCTGGGCTCTGTGTCAAAGCTCTTGGCCAGGGAGAAAATGTGTTGGCTTTTGGCCATGGTAAAGATCCTCCCAGACTGATTTAATGTGGTGGAGAATCACCAGCCTCTAGCAAGCTCCAGCCTTTCTCCGGAGGATCACTCTCTGGACTGCCTGGGCAAGGTGAGCAGTGGCCCTGGGCAGGATTTAATAGAGCAAGGTGACAAGCCAGCGTGCTACAGTGCAGCTGCATAAGTAACAGAACAGCCCGCCGAAAACCAGGGTGCTGGCAAAAGTATTTTAAAACTTATGTTCTAATTTAATACTCATGTTTCTCAATCTCTCCTTTTTATCCTATTAAACAAATCAATTTAAAAGGAGATAACAGTTCTCATACCCAGAAAGCCCTTTATTCATGACCTTAAATTTAGTTCATGTCCAGATTTTTACTATGAAATATTTACAAATACCAAAGAATATAGGTACAGTATACATGAACACCCGTGAATCCACCACCCTAAGAGCCAGGTCGTTACTAGTGGTGTGGACTCTGCACTGCGCTATTCCCCTATCACATGCCCTCTGCTGATTTTTCAGGTTCAAATCATGAAATTAAAAATGTCAACATATTAACAGTTTGTGCTGGTCTCATTTTTATGCCCCCCAAGAGAAACATAAGCAGTTGTAAGTATATCATCTGAGAACATATGTGGAAGTGTATTTTTTTCTTTCAACATCGTAAATGTTTAAGGAAATGGCTTTGGAGACATAATGCTCACTTGAATATAGTGACAACGTTTACTGCTCTAAACTTCCACTAGATGGAGACATTTCATCATAGAAAAATAACAATACCCACTCCCCCTCTACCCTGTCCCCAACCTGGGAAATGCTCCAAAATGGCGAGGAAAAAATTACATGCTGTATCAGAGACTTATTTTTTAATGCAAGATAACCTTCATCAAGTTAGTTCTAATTGAATTAAGAAAAAGAAAGGTTAGCATCAATTTTAGGGTAGGTGGGAATGTTGATGGGGGCAGAAAGCCAATACATTTTGCTGCGGGTTGGGACAAGCCTCCTTTCACCCAGGTGATCTGGCATTAATGAAGCCATTTCCAATTCAAATCTACTATTAACAATCTCATTTTGGTCTAGGCAACTAAACAGTTTAGCACAGAATTCAATTATCAGCTTATTCGAAAGTCATGCATCAAGAATTCATGATTTTCTTATTTGACCCCATTAATCTTACAAGGGTTTTCAGTTACTCAAGAGAAAGATAAAATCCTTGATTTCTCTTTTTCTAGGCCATCCAGGGTTACTTTCTGTACCAAAGGAGACATGAGGTGACAAAGATTCAGTGTGTTATACAGTAAACCTCACAGGCTGAGCCAGAGGGGCTGGTATAGACTCAAAACATCTATTGAAAGTTGTTCAGCAAGTGAAGAAGTCATCTTTTTAATACACTAGAAGCACCAATTCACCTATAAACAAACACTGTATAAAAATCATTCATGTCAATTTAGGAAAACAGGATCTCTATTATGCCACCTTTTATTTCTTGAGTTATTGTGGACAATTAGCATTATTAAAACTGCATTTCTTTAAACTGTTCTTATGGTTCAGGTCTTTTCATTAATTCACACTTGGCAAGACATTCTTTGTTATCTTGCTCTGATTCAAATACGCGGTTTAAACCCTGGTGCTGGTTTAGAATGGCTTTTAAGATTTTATAACAGCTCCCCCTGTTCCTCTGACTTAAACACTTATTAAAAGAGCCTGGCCGCAATCCCTGAAGTCACTCACAGGGCTTGTGGTCCCAGGAGTCGGGAGCCTTGATGGAGCCAGGAAGTGGCATCTGCCAACAGAAGTCAGCCTTGATCTGCCTAGCCATGCAGCATTCTTATTACAACGTCCTAATACACTGAGCACTTACAACAGCAGGTCCGTGAAGCACCCCCACCCTGTGCTGGGCAGCAGGAACACCGCCTGAGGGCACACAGCACACCCTGGCCCACAGTTTAAGCTGCACCACAAAACACAAAAGCCAGTCCCAGTGGCTTCCAGTTTCTGCCCATTGACAGGGGAAGGGAGTGGGAGCACACACACTAGGAGGTGTGGCAGCTGCCCCAGGGAGAACAGAACCCCATCCCTCCTTCCCTTCAGCCAGAGAGCCAGGGGCTGGGAGAGGCTGGGGGAGGGGAGAGGCTGGGGGAGGGGAGAGGCTGGGGGAGGGGAGGAGCTGTGTGCCATCTGCTTCCGTATCAATGCTTTGTTTTTCCTTCATGATTTTCTCTTCCCTGTTATTACCCTTGACTTCAGGATACTGTATTTGTTGCACAGACCTTATTTTTCTTTTCCATAACCTTGAGAAAGGGCATTTAAATGGCACGTAAGATGAGAAATTGCATTGGCAAAAAGGAAGCACATTAAAGGGGGAAGAACCTTTGTAATATTTTCCTAAGAACAGGGTCAGAGGCTCAAATGCCTCTGGAAACTCAAAGGCCATGCATGCAAATCACAAAACGTAGACTGAGATAGATTGGATCCTCCTCGAATGTTTCTCCAAAATTTTCAATTTAATGGCATGATAGATCCTTTCCAGATCAACAAAGGAAGAAGTCTTGGGTCAGACTGTGGTGAGGACTGACTTTCCAAGCGCCCTACAACCTGGTGACAGAACCACCTGCAGTGTGTGTACCGTACTGCCTGCTACTCCTTGCTTCTTACCTTTTAGAATTTACAAATAGTTTTAAAGTTTTTAATCAGCCGTGGCATTTAGGGAATATTGTATAAACCAGGGAGGGGAAGTGGGTTGTATTTCAGAATCCAAAGTTAATAGACTCTGACAAGAAGCATTCATCTGAGAATCAAACTGACAGCCAGGAATCATCAATCAGAAGAGATCAAAGCCAAATTCCCTCCTCCCCCGCCTCTCAGCCAACTTTCCAAACCTCCATGTAGCTGGAATGGTTTGGTCCCCTTTGATGGGGGCATCTGGGCCTTTCCAAGGTCACACCCGACACTGTTCTCAGGACGCCCTCCCAGCGGGCCGTGCACTCTGCCACCTGCCGCCTCCCTGCGCAGGGGTGGGTCCCTAACCTGGGCCTTCTGCTCCTCAGATGTCAACCATGATACATACCTCAGGCAGTTGTGAAGGATAAATGAGAACATTTGTGACTTAGCACATGGCTGGTCCATAAGGGGCCTTCAGTACATGGCAGCTGTTTACTATTTTTAAAATATGTCTGTGGCCACAGGAGGAGGGATCCTGGGGGCAGGTCATGTTCTTGACCTGGGTGCTGGCTACACAGGCATGTTCGATTTGTGAAAATTCAACAAACTGTATACTTTTAAAAAATTGTGGTAAAACATATGTAGCATAAGATGTGTCATTTTAATCATTCCTAAGTGTACAGCTGAGTGGCAGTAAGTACATTCACACTGCTGTGCAGTCATCACTGTGTACACTTTCGATACAGGCACTGTTCTGTACGTTTTAATAATAAGTCAAAAAAAATCCACCCCTGCCTCTGTTAATGATGACAATACTAATAATTTTTTTTTAAAAAAGTGCTGTGACTATGCAGACTGTATCTTCTGATGTCTAGACTGGCCTCCTCTGGAGGCATGCAGTTCCAGCTGTCGAAAGGTGGCGTGCTCTTGGTGTATGGTCCTGAGAGCTGGGGGCACCCCAGGGAAGGGCGGGCTTCCCGGGCAGGCAGCATTCAGGCCGGGTGTAATAAGCAATAAGCACTTCTCTTTCCCGGGCTGTGTGGGTGAGCAGGGCTGCCCCTTACCTTCCCCTAGAGAGAGCTTCAAGTCCCTCCATCACATGAAATGCAGTTTGCTCACAGAGCAAGAGGAGAAGCAACCAGACTTGGTGGCCCAGGAGAACTTCCTGGTGTGCCCTGCAGGCCCTGGGTGGCATTCTTCCCCAACCACCTGGAGCAATGCACCAAGTCACTGGAGGTGCCTGGCTTGCTGACATGGGACCCCACCATTTTCTTTGGAGCCCAAATTTTTCTGGCGTCCAACCATACTGCCACAATCTAACAGAGGCAGTGTTTTACAACCATAGGGAAATCTGACCCATATTTACTCTTCCTTATGGAGTATTAAAGGTAGGATTTGAAAAGTAAGTGAGTCTAACTCTTGAAATTTCCCCATTGCTTATTTAACTGTTGTTCCTACAGGCCACGTTTAAAATGCATGCAGTGTAGGCATGCACGAATGGGCGAAATCGCTTCTCTTTCCATCTCGCCACGACTTCAGTCACCCCCAAATTTTCATCATAGGGGTACCACAGGCTTTACCAACTGGAATGGTTAGCAGTTTTGAAAACAGAAGGAATGTGTTTGCAAGCCTCAAGTGAGGGCTTAGCTAGTGCCACATCCGAAATGGGAAGAAAGTCTCAAGGCAGAGAACGCATGGTGCAGGTGGCCAAGCTTTGTGGCAGTCATTGGAAACTGGGGATCTGTGGCAATGCCCTGGGCAGTGGAGGGCAATGCACCAGCTTTTACAACCTCTAAACCCAAACAAAACAACATGGACTGTGCTACTATAGTTCTCCAAAAGGCTCCTTGGACACACCATGCCCTCAGATACTGCATTGTGTCACTGACTCTTCTTTTCTCAAATTATATTGCTATGAACTAGTGAATTCAGCAAATATTCTCTTAGCATCTCAGACCCCCGAAGGGGCACAGACTGGTAACCAGTCTGAAAGGTACGCATGCTTCTCTTCCCGCTCCAAACTTACGAGCTGTTCAATATTTGAAATTTTTCTCCTTTGTGAAAACTCAGGTCATCTTCCGTCCGTGCTTCATAGTCATAAAGGGCCACAAACAGTGTCACTCCTGCCAAAGCAACATCAAAGGAGGGGGGTTATTATACATGGGGAAGTTAATACCAAGAAATCAAATCTTCACTAAAATCTCATTCTCAGACTCTGCATCTAGTCAGCACCAACAACATGTTGAAGTGTTGTGATTAATGTGTGAAAACCAGAGTCCCGGGGCTGTGTTTATGCCTTGGTCTTTGCAGGGAAAGCATTATTTAATCTGACAAAAACCTGGACTTGAAGGACTTCTCTCTGTTTGCCTTTGAATGACTCCTGGGGAAGAGACGGATATTAACATCCAAAACTAAAGGGGGCGGCAGCGTTGGGGCTCAGATTTGCAGGGCTCTGCAATGATTAGGAACACCCTCTATCAAACACATTCTCCTCTACTCGGAAGCCCACATCAGGTTCTGGGCAAAACAAATCACTCTTTCCCCTGGCGTAACAGTCATGAGGAAGACAACAGGAAACTCTTCCTGTAGCTTGGGGAAATTTAGAGAAGACCCCTTACTGTAATGCTCACCCCTATTAAAGAATGCATTGCCCTGGGCATCTGCAATTGTTCTAGCAGTTGCCAGCTGCTTAGTCCTCCTGCTGAAAGTGGAATTTCTCTTCCTTATCCTCCTCCTGCCGGGAACTCATCTCTCCTCACACTGTCTTGTAGTACTCACTCTTCCTCACACCTACCCTATGTCTTCTCATCTGGCTGACTCCCCGGAGAGGCCCTTCCTGCTTTGCAGAAGTTGTATCAACAGCAAAGAATGTGCAGAGTCCCATTTGGCCTCAGACTTCCTCCATATGACAGGCAGAATCCTGAGACGGCCCTCGCTGATTCAGCCTCCTGGGACCATGCCCCGTGCGGTCCCCTTCCCTCGAGTGTGGGCTGAGCCTGAGGACTTGCCTCTAACAAACAGTGTGCAGAGGTGATGATGGCATGTCCCTTAAGTGACTAGGCTTCAAAGGTGGTGACTCTCCTTATTCCTTGCAGACTCTCTTTATTGCCACTTCGGCTTGCACACTTTGACGAAGCAAGGTGCCGGGCCGGCAAGGCCCACAGGACAGAGAACCGAGCGTGGCCTCGGCCGACAGCCAGCGAGGAACCCGATCCCACCAACACTGCCCGAGCCTGGGAGCAGATCATTCTCAGCCGGATGTGAAATGACGACAGCCCAGCCCGCACGCCTGTGAGAGGCTCTGATGTAGAGAACCCGGCTAAGTCATTCCCGGACTCCTGACCCACAGAAACTGAGAGATAATAGATGTGTCTTGTCTTGAGCTACTACATTTTGTGGGAGTTTGTTATACAGCCGTCGATAGCTAATACGTTTCGCTTCCCTATAAACTGGCTTCTCATTCTGATCTCTACACACTTCCAAGTGCCTGGAGTGCTCGAGGGCCTGGAGAACACACAACGTGGAGCCTCCTCCCCTACCAAGCCGCCACCTTTCCGTGTAGGTAGTTCCAAGGGAACAGATGTGTCCACAGGACTGTTCAGGAACCTCGGGGCGGGAGGGATGTTTTTCGGCCCCACCCCACGTGGGATCTCCTGTAGGAGAGCTGGCATTCAGATGTCTGCCCGTGCGAGGCAAGGCTCATTTGGCAAGGGTCCTCCTTTCTGTAGATTTCTTTGAAAGGTACGAAAAGACTGGCTTAAAAGAAAAATGTGGGTACCTGTAAGGCCACGCCTACTCTTATTTAACACTCTATTAACAGATTCCCTTCCTGACCTAATTTAAAAGCCAAGCCAAGCCAGCTCCATGGCGTGGAAGGGAAGCACACCAAGCCCAGCACTCGCTCCTTGCATGGTGGACGAGTTCTCAGTTAAGGGCTTTTATGTTCCAGGGACTGAGGGGAGAGTCAAGGGAGGTTACAGAGAAACACAGACACTGTGTTTGGCCTTAAAGGAGTGAAAACACTATTGGGAGAAAGGACGTGCACATATAATAAAATAATTCAAGGCAGAAAAATCTGCCAACATTTGGGGGTAATGTGTTTTAACTTTCAAATTTTATAAGGGATGATATGGCCTCTTAGACTTAAGATTGTCCTCAACTGCAGTGCAGACCCACACGTTCAAGGCAAGTAGCCCTCTCTAGTGACTTTAATGACACCTGCAGATGCAGGGACTCCTATCCAACACTCATGAATGAATGAAAAAGGACAACGCCTGTGTCAGCAGAATTAAGAGTCTGAGCTGGCAAATCCCTCATGTTTCCCATGATAGACACAGGGCAGGGTGCTCGATGGGTTTTTGACTCTCTTTCCTCTTCCATCCTCAAGAGACAGATAGCCTGCCTCTTCCCTCCTTTCCAGGTACTTTGGGAAGGCAGGAGGCATGAGCAGGTGTACCTAGCATTCACTCACCTATGCAAGGCCTGGGTTAAAGGGAGAGCTAGAGTCACCATAGCACAAGGGTAAATATGAAGGTTTTCTCCCACTGGGCAGAGCATGATATTCTGGTGGAAGAGAAGTAGGTAATGTCCAAAGGCTCTGGGACAGGTCCCCCTGATGCAACAACACTGCCATGTGTTGGGTGCAGACAGAAAAAAGAATCCCTGCTAATGCCTTGGGAGTGGCAAATCCCCAGGTAGAGAGGCACTATGTGTCATTATATAAGACATCTGCTCCCAAATGAGCTGAGGGATGCTACATTCTTCTAAACTTTTGTAATAAACAAAACGATTTTGGAACAAATAATGTCAAATATCTAGTTACCGTGGTTCACACACTGAGAGAGGATTTGGAAGACTAAGGATGCATGAGATAATGTACAAATATTTCGGAAAACATATGTCTGAGAATGTATGCCAGATATTTTACAAAGTATGAGCTAAGTCAGCAAATACACATGGCAGTAAAATATGGCCTTGTGGTGTGAAAGACAAGGGAATTTCAAAAAAAGAGAAAGGCAGGCTGAAGATTAGGAAGATGAGGGAGAAGGCACTACCCCTCAAAGAGGTAGAGGAAGGTGGGGGAGGGACTGCATTAGTATTTGGAGAACTCAAAGTATACATAACCACACCCAGTCTTGGAGTTTCAAAAGACCCGTGATAGGGCTCGGGCATCTGTGTTTTGAAAAAGCTGCCCTCGTTATTCTGAGCTAGCCAGCCAGCCATGGTTGACGGCCATTGACCTACTGTGCCTTGGAGGAACGTTGTAGCTCACTAACTCATGCAGAGCCCCACAGAGCAGCAGCTTAGGGGTCCCCGCATCCCTGGAGCCAGGCATTTTGATTTGTACATCAAGCTCTGGCTGGTAGAGGAGACTGATTAGAAACTTACATGTGAAACCCACAGCCCAAGGGAGCTGACTGGAGCACAAATGTTCAATTGCCAAAAGAATTAAGGGCAGCTGCCCCCTCCCCACCCTCTGCGGCCCTGGGGGCTTACCTGTTCCTCCTCTCGTACGCAAGGTCCCAGTATGAGACGAAGAGTTCACACCCCCAAAGACTGTGAGTCCTTGGCCCCCGGCTGCGTGGAAGTTGTTGTAGTTTGGGATGGAGGTCACGCCGAAGCTGGGGTAGTGCTGAGGGGTGGGGTCTGTGCCATAGCGGTACCCGGAGCTCTGGTTCAGGCTGCCATCCCTCTCCTCCGTCAGTTTTGTTGCTTCTTTATCCTTACATTGCACACAGCCCATTATCTAAATTCCTGCCCAAGACAAAAAGGAAGCACATGAGCTTGGATGTCCCCCCTTGCTGGGTGGCTTTACTAGGAAAGAGGAATACTTGGCAAGGCTTGCCCCCTTGGCTATTTCGGGGCTGTGAGGGGCGCGAGGAAAAGCAGTGGCTGGGGGGGCGGTTAGGAGGAAGCTCAGTTCCCTTGACCCGATGATCACATTTGTTCCCCAGATGCTCAGGATGACGGCATCCTCACAAGGTACAATGTTCAACATGCAGCAATTTTCCTTGAATGAGGCCTGCGCCCCTTAAAATTCTGTAATAGCACACACCTGCCTAAAGACAGTCCAGTAATACTAATCAGTCATCTCAAAAAATAGCATATGGTCTATAAAATGAGTCTATGCAATATTAGAATAAAAACTTCCATCACGGCAGAGGAAATTTAAAGAAGAGGGCATGGGTGCTGGATAAGCCAGACTCCAGCCCCTAAATAAGTCACTAGACATCTCTGCTCACGGGTACCTACTCTCCAGGCTCAAAATTGGTCAATCTTAAGCAATAAGATGATGATAAGTATCGAAATTAAGAGCCAGTTACTGGATGAAAAATGAAATTGGTAGAACCTAAGAGGTCTGAGTATATTTGCAGGATGTCACAATAGCCTACAGTGACAAAATCACTTATAGCTGCTAATTAACTTTTCAAATTTCCATTAGCTTTTGACATCTTTCAAAAACACCATGCAAAAAAAAAAAAATCATTCCCATGTTCTAGACTTAGTGGTAGATTAAAAACTTGAGTCACTGTCATCCTGCCCTCAAGCCTACTTCTGCCGGCTCCTCGTCACAGCAAATGGAACCACCAACCACCCAGCTGCTCGGGTTGGAGTCCCGAGAGGTATCCTCACTTGCTGTTCCTTGTTTACACCTCAGTCTCCATTGCTCAAACACGCCCAAGTCTTCAAAGCTTCCATTCCCACCTCCCCTACGTTCAGGACTTGAACACTCTGGCCGCTCCTCTTTGACACTCAGTGCATCCTCTGCATCTCAGTTAATAAGGCGCCGCTTCCTCTGCAAAGCCTCTTCCAATTCCCTGCCCTCCCGGGGCGGGCAGTGCTTTCCCCAGTGCCCCCACCATGGCATCCCGATTTCCCTCACGACACCCACTGCACCATAGTGAAACATGGCCTAGCCACCTGCCTTGTCACCTGATGGACTGCGAGTTCCAGGGAAGCAGGGCACCATCTATTGTCATCACAGCTATACTGCCAGCACCTGGCACCGTAAACAGCAGCCAGATGAGTGAAGATTCCGCAGCCTGTTATGTTTCTCTTTTGCCCTTTCTTTCTCTCCGTAGCAAGGCCAATCCTACTTCCAGTGACTTTTATCAGCAGCGTACCCTGCATTTTTTAGTCTACTGGTACGAGCGTGAGAAGTGAAGAAGATTCAGAAATACAGGGTAGGTTTGTTAACGACCCCACTTTGGACTGCAATACCCTGTCGAGCCGGCAGGGGGTAGGCAGAACAGGCAACGGAGGTCCCTGCCAAAACTCTGCAAAGCAACCCATTTGGGACCAAAGAATCAAACAAGAAACACATGACATCATGTGTAATAACACATATTCACTGGGGAGGGCACAGCTGGCACAAGGCGGGAAGTCGCTTGAGGCGGCAAAGGAGAATGAAAGCGTCAGTTTTTCTATATTATCTTGCAAACCAAGGTGGGAGGTGCCACATCAGACAGGTGGGCTGCCCTGGGCGCTATTCTGAGTGCTGGTTTTCTGCTGGACCAGGTCAGGGGAGAGCAATCAAACTGTTCCAAAGCCCTCTCAAAATTACACGTTTCAATACTTTTTGAATTGAATGTCAGATCTTGAGAATGAAAATGTTTGGAAAAGAGCCGCCTACTGCTCGAGCTGAGATCACCAAATCTGGAACACATTTACTCGTAAATCATTTGAGATTAATTTACAGTATAGTGTGTCCAACATGCTTTGTAACTTACGGTAAATGAATATGATTTTCACAAGTTTCCAACGGGAGATGCAAAATATTTCCAAGGAATGATTTACTAAAAGAATTTCATCATTTGTTGTTGATGTTGCTTCATCAGACTGATAGTTGTCTTGCTCACAATATATTAACTCTTTCATGGTGGAAAGTTGCGCCAAGCTTTTACAAAGGTCAGACAGAAACATTTCTTGTCCCATATCTTTTGTTCAGGAATTTCACTGACTTACGGTAATTAGAGGATGTAAGACCTGAATCACACCATTTATACTAGTGGTTCTCAGCTGGAGGTGACTTTGCTATTCCCCCTGGCCCCCCAAGAGACATATTAGGCAATGTCTGGAGACATTTTTGGTTGTAACACTCCATGGGGAGGGATGCTCTTGGTACCTAGTGGGTAGAGGCCACAGATGCTGCTAAACATCCTACAATGCACAGGACAGCCTCCTTCAACAAAGGATTACTTGGCCCCAAGTGTTAGTAGTGCCAAGGTCAAGAAATCCTGATTTACACTCAGGAAAGAATTTATGTCTATGTCTTTGAAACAGCGTAACACCTTTTCCCTTACATACATGTGATTAACATGCAACCCAGAATGCTTTCCTTAGAATAAGGATGCCAGGTAGAAGGAGGCAGTCTTAAAAAGCGACATGAAATGCTTTGCTTTTTCTCTAGAAGCTTGTTCTAGAACTAGAACCCAAACCAATGAAAATTCTCATTACAAACCATCCTTCCAACTCCAACAAAACAAAATTAACCCCTACATCAGAACCCTAGAGAAAACAGGACCCTACATCTAACCAAATTAAGAAAAAATAATCTTTCAGAATCCATTTTAAAAAAGTAACACACTGTAATAAATGACTATCAGCTTATCTATAATTTTATGAAATAATGAAGGGGGGAAAAAGTCACCAGCTCCTAGATGGCAGGGATTATTTTTTGTGTCATTGCCGCATCCTCAGCATCCAAAACAGTGCCTGACACGCAGTAGCACTCAATAAATATTTGTCAAATGAATAAATACAACAAAAATAGTCAAAACCATTTTGGAGGAAACAATTTTCTTCTACAAAAAGACAGCATGTCACTTTAGACGTGAAACTTTGAGTTAAGTAATATTTCTATACAGATCTTACTCTCTCCCTGTCATTGACACACATAAAGAAAACAGAAATAAATCAGTAAATGCAGTTCTCAAGTCATTAAAAGTTAATCACAATGAAAATATTTGTATAAGAACTTGTGGTCTTCTTCCTCCCACAAGGGGCATTCAGACTAATTGTTTCCTGATGGAAGAGGCAGAAGATGCCATACAAGCTGTACTTAATGTGCTCGGGCTCTTTACATAAGGCAAACTTTTAAGCATTTGAGCTAAAATAAAAATATTCTTTACTACTGGTATGTATCATTCTGTGCCATGGTTTTTCCGTCTAATGCTGTAGGTCCATCGTGAACATCTGATGCACTAATATACTTGCTCTAGATCCGTGGAGCATTAGGAAACACCAAATAATACCATTCTCATAGTGGAGTCTTGGCGTTACTCTGATCAGGAAAACATCACACACCATGGACTCGTGGCTATAGTCCTCTGCACGGTGTCACACCTAGGAAAACTGGTGAAAGAGCACTTTGACCAATCAGATTCTGTGCTTGCGGTCAAGGTGTCTATAGTATAGCTATGAAGTCCATATTCGCTAATCCTTTTGCAAACTGAGGGGCACTGTTTCTACTATGCAAATAAAACTCAATTTACTTAAAATCCACTTAGTCCTGTGGATCTTTCCAAAGGCACCAATAGTGTTAAGCAACATGGGAAGAGTTGCCAGATACAGAATTCAAGGATTGCCACACCCTGTTCCATTGAGGCTGTGGATATTATCAACTGATCACAGCACTTTCCGCTGCTGTGACACGGCGTGGCCTCAGACTCCTCCTTCACATAGCTCTCCTGTCTGAAGCTGATCTAAAGGATTGAATCTGTCTGCTACGAGGGGCACAGGGTGCTTTGATCAAGATGAATCTGCTTGAACACACACTCCCTCCTACTGATGCCACAGACCAGAGTCTGGTCTGCCAGATGCACATTAAACACAGACACGCTGATATTTTCTTATATGCCAATCAATACAGCAATGCCAGGATGCCCAGATTATAATGTCATAGGACTTGTGAGAGGATTTCAGGTGTGCGGGAGCTGGGTACCAAAAAGATTGCCAGTGCCAATCTTCTGCAGGAGCAAATTACTTTCTCTTGAGACACATACACTTGCAGGCAGAGGAGGGATGGTAGGAGGGGGAAGGTGAAAACAACAACAAATAATTTTAATTGCAGCAATGTAAGTGCTTTTGTCTCAGAAACCAACCTAGGTGGGTGTGAAGAAGTGACAGCTCTCAGGCATAGCAGGCTACCCCTGCTCCTGACAGGCCACAGCAGATATCCAGACTTCAGAGAGTGACAGATTTGTCTCATACTCTGACATGGTATGTTTCCTGGTGCTCCTGTTCCCTATCCCTTTAGTTGGTCTCCATTTTACCTGGGCAGGTATCATAATGGAAGTAAAAGAATAAGGAAGGGAACTGAACTGAGAAACCAAGCACAAGTAACTGAGATGGGGGCAGTTGAAAAAATAACTTAACCCTTTGCACTCGCTTGCTTTTTTCTCGATTCCTTTATTTTACTCGGAATTTAATTTTTTAAATACCCCAGATTTTACAAAGCGAGGCAGTAGAATAAAAAACTGGAGTTTCTTTTCATACAAACTTATTCATCTAGATTTTTTTATATTTCAAATTATTGATACATTCAAAGAGTAATTTTAATCTCTATAATTTTTCATGGTGTGAGCTGCTACTGATGCTAACCGTGTCGAGTCACACTCGACATCCGAGTGCAAAGGGTTAAAGCTGAGTTCTAAATCAGTTGCACAGGTTCATAAACTGCTCTGGAAAAAAAGCAAAACCTGACAGCTTAATGAGCAAACACACTTTTTCAGTCGATAGCAACGGCCGGAGGA